AGGTTTTTTCTTTTTCTAAATAGCTCTTGTTCTTCTTTATTTCTTCTATTGTCCATGGGAAAACGGAAAAGAATCTTTCCTCCGCAAGCCATGTGTGTCGTATGAGGCGACTAAAATGCCGGGAGCGATGGGCTAGTAACCCCTTCTCCTGTAAACATTTACTAAAAAAGATAATAAGAAAAATTTTATAAAACTGGGATGCTTGAATGTGTGTGGATGTAGTGCAGATGACAAGATGTTATGAATAAAAAGAACTTGGATGTCTTTGTCCTAAGTGAAACAAAGCTGAAGGGTAGGGGAGTTTCGGTGAGGGGAAATAAATGGGATTAAATCTGGAGTATCTGAGAGAGTTAGAGCTAAGGAAGGGGTAGCAATAATGTTGAAGGATCAGTTACGGAAGGAGGAAAGAGAATATGAATGTGTAAATTCAAGGATTATGTGGATTAAAGTAAAGGTTGGATGTGAAAAGTGGGTCATAATAAGCGTGTATGCACCTGGAGAAGAGAGGAATGTAGAGGGAGAGAGAGATTTTGGGAGATGTTAAGTGAATGTATAGGAATCTTTAAACCAAGTGAGAGAGTAATTGTGGTAAGGGACCTGAATACTAAAGTAGGAGAAACTTTTAGAGAGGGTGTGATAGGTAAGTTTGGGGTGCCAGTTGTAAATGATAATGGGAGCCCTTTGATTGAACTTTGTATAGAAAGGGGTTTAGTTATAGGTAATACATATTTTAAGAAAAAGAGGATAAATAAGTATACAAGATATGATGTAGGGCGAAATGACAGTAGTTTGTTGGATTATGTATTGGTAGATAAGACTGTTGAGTAGACTTCAGGATGTACATGTTTATAGAGGGGCCACAGATATATCAGATCACTTTTTAGTTGTAGTTACACTGAGAGTAAAATGTAGATGGGATATAAGGAGAATATAAGCATCAGGTAAGAGAGGTGAAGGTTTATAAACTAAAAGAGGCAGCAGTTAGGGTAAGATATAAACAGCTATTAGAGGATAGATGGGCTAATGACAGCATAAGCAATTGGGTCGAAGAGGTATGGGGTAGGTTTAAAAATGTAGTGTTAGTGTTCAGCAGAAGTTTGTGGTTACAGGAAAGTGGGTGCGGGAGGGAAGAGGAGCGATTGGTGGAATGATGATGAAAAGAGAGTAGTAAGGGAGAAAAAGTTAGCATATGAGAAGTTTTTACAAAATAGAAGTGATGCAAGGAGGGAAGAGTATATGGAGAAAAAGAGAGAGGTTAAGAGAGTGGTGAAGCAATGTAAAAAGAGAGCAAATGAGAGAGTGGGTGAGATGTTATCAACAAATTTTGTAGAAAATAAAAAGTTTTGGAGTGAGATTAACAAGTTAAGGAAGCCTAGAGAACAAATGGATTTGTCAGTTAAAAATAGGAGAGGAGAGTTATTAAATGGAGAGTTAGAGGTATTGGGAAGATGGAGGGAATATTTTGAGGAATTGTTAAATGTTGATGAAGATAGGGAAGCTGTGATTTCGTTTATAGGGCAAGGAGGAATAACATCTTGTAGGAGTGAGGAAGAGCCAGTTGTAAGTGTGAGGGAAGTTCGTGAGGCAGTAGGTAAAATGAAAGGGGGTAAGGCAGCTGGGATTGATGGGATAAAGACAGAAATGTTAAAAGCAGGTGGGATATAGTTTTGGAGTGGTTGGTGCTATTATTTAATAAATGTATGGAGGAGGGTAAGGTACCTAGGGATTGGCAGAGAGCATGCATAGTTCCTTTGTATAAAGGCAAAGGGGACAAAAGAGTGCAAAAATTATAGGGGGATGTTGTTTGTCCGTCGATTCGACGAGGACCATCTAGTCATCCTGGGGTCGAAGTTAGTGGGTACGCAAATGACTTGTCAGGCCAATCCGCGCACGAAACGTTCTCTGGCAGTGTTCTCTGGCAGAGAATATAGGATGATAAGTCTGTTTAGTATACCTGGTAAAGTGTATAGTAAAGTTATTATTGAAAGAATTAAGAGTAAGACAGAGAATAGGATAGCAGATGAACAAGGAGGCTTTAGGAAAGGTACGGGGTGTGTGGACCAGGTGTTTACAGTGAAACATATAAGTGAACAGTATTTAGATAAGGCTAAAGAGGTTTTTGTGGCATTTATGGATTTGGAAAAGGCGTATGACAGGGTGGATGAGGGGGCAATGTGGCAGATGTTGCAAGTGTATGGTGTAGGAGGTAGGTTACTGAAAGCAGTGAAGAGTTTTTACGAGGATAGTGAGGCTCAAGTTAGAGTATGTAGGAAAGAGGGAGATTATTTCCCAGTAAAAGTAGGCCTTAGACAAGGATGTGTGATGTCACTGTGGTTGTTCAATATATTTATAGATGGGGTTGTAAGAGAAGTAAATGCGAGGGTCTTGGCAAGAGGTGTGGAGTTAAAAGATAAAGAATCACATAAAAAGTGGGAGTTGTCGCAGTTGCTCTTTGCTGATGACACTGTGCTCTTGGGTGATTCTGAAGAGAAGTTGCAGAGGTTGGTGGATGAATTTGGTAGGGTATGTAAAAGAAGAAAATTGAAAGTGAATACAGGAAAGAGTAAGGTTATGAGGATAACAAAAAGATAAGGTGATGAAAGATTGGATATCAGATTGGAGGGAGAGAGTATGGAGGAGGTGAATGTATTCAGATATTTGGGAGTGGACTTGTCAGCGGATGGGTCTGTGAAAGATGAGGTGAATCATAGAATTGATGAGGGAAAAAGGGTGAGTGGTGTACTTAGGAGTCTGTGGAGACAAAGAACTTTGTCCTTGCAAGCAAAGAGGGAAATGTATGAGAGTATAGTTTTACCAACGCTCCTGTATGGGTGTGAAGCATGGATGATGAATGTTGCAGCGAGAAGAAGGCTGGAGGCAGTGGAGATGTCATGTCTGAGGGCAATGTGTGGTGTGAATATAATGCAGAGAATTCGTAGTTTGGAAGTTAGGAGGAGGTGCAGGATTACCAAAACTGTTGTCCAGAGGGCTGAGGAAGGGTTGTTGAGGTGGTTCGGACATGTAGAGAGAATGGAGCGAAACAGAATGACTTCAAGAGTGTATCAGTCTGTAATGGAAGGAAGGCGGGGTAGGGGTCGGCCTAGGAAAGGTTGGAGGGAGGGGGTAAAGGAGGTTTTGTGTGCGAGGGGTTTGGACTTCGAGCGGGCATGCGTGAGCGTGTTTGATAGGAGTGAATGGAGACAAATGGTTTTTAATACTTGACGTGCTGTTGGAGTGTGAGCAAAGTAACATTTATGAAGGGGTTCAGGGAAACCGGCAGGCCGGACTTGAGTCCTGGAGATGGGAAGTACAGTGCCTGCACTCTGAAGGAGGGGTGTTAATGTTGCAGTTTAAAAACTGTAGTGTAAAGCACCCTTCTGGGAAGACAGTGATGGAGTGAATGATGGTGAAAGTTTTTCTTTTTCGGGCCACCCTGCCTTGGTGGGAATCGGCCAGTGTGTTAATAAAAAAAATAAAAATAAATAAGCAAATTTGCTGATGACACCAAAATAGGCCATCCAATTAATTCTATTGAGGACGTTAGTGCACTCCAGGATGATTTGAATAGACTGATGCAGTGGTCGGAGAAGTGGCAGATGCAGTTTAATGTAGACAAATGCAAAGTGCTAAATGTTGGACAGGACAATAACCATGCCACTTATAAACTGAATATACAAATAACCCGCACATAAAAGAGAAGCTTACGACTACGTTTCGGTCCGAATTGGACCATTTACAAAGTCACACTTTTTGTGACTTTGTAAATGGTCCAAGTCGGACCGAAACGTCGTCGTAAGCTTCTCTTTTATGTGCTGGTTATTTGTGTATCGTTCCAGTCACGGTATTGTGCTTTTTTTTTTTATTTATAAACTGAATAGGGTAGATCCTAATATTACTGATTGCGAAAAGGATTTAGGAGTTCTGGTTAGCAGTAATCTGAAACCAAGACAACAGTGCATATGTGTTCGAAATAAAGCTAAAAGAATCCTTGGATTCATATCAAGAAGTATAAATAATAGAAGTCCTCAGGTTGTTCTTCAACTCTATATATCCTTGGTTAGGTCTAATTTAGATTATGCTGCTCAGTTCTGGTCACCGTATTACAGAATGGATATAAATGCCCTGGAAAACGTACAGAGGAGGATGACAAAGTTGATCCCATTGTTTCAGAAATCTTTCCTATGAGGATAGACTGAGGGACCTGAATCTACACTCTCTGGAAAGGCGTAGAATTAGGGGGGATATGATTGAGGTGTATAAATGGAAAACATTAATAAATAAAGGGGATGTAAATAGCGTGCTGAAAATATCCAGCCAAGACAGGACTCGCAGCAATGGTTTTAAGTTGGAAAAGTTGAGATTCAGGAAGGACATAGGAAAGCGCTGGTTTGGTAATAGAGTTGTGGATGAGTGGCACAAACTTCCGAGTGCCATCATAGAAGCTAAGACTTTGTTTAGTTTTAAAAATAGGTTGGATAAATACATGAGTGGGTGTGAGTTGGATCTGACTAGCTTGGGCTACCAGATTAAGTGGAAGTGACCTAACTAGGTGGCCATTGTTCTAGGCCGGGGGGTGACATGGACCTGCTTTGCATGAGTCAGTAGGCCTGTTGCAGTGTTGTTTTTGATCAATACCACTCGTTCGTGGTTACAATATATATATATATATATATATATATATATATATATATATTATATATATATATATATATATATATTATATAAATATATTATATAAATATATATATATATATTATATATATATATATATTATATATATATATATATATATATATATATATATTATATATATATATATATATTATATATATATATATAATATATATATATATATATATATATATATATATATATATATATATTGTACAAATATTTGAGAATATCACGTCTTGTTTCATGTTTCTAAGACACCTTTTACTATTTTTTTTCAGTGTGTCATTGACCTGTCGGTTCCCGCAGTAATGCATAATAATGAAAACTGGACTGCTGTCATGGCTGCTGCTGCGAAGGGTCACTGGAAGATTGTTAGAATGATCATTGATGTTCACCTTGAAATGATTTGTGATGAAGCTGATTTTGTTATCATTAAAGCAGCCGATAATAATGAGTGGGACATTGTACTCTGTATCATAAAACACAAATTCCAATTACCAACTGAAACTTTCAAGCATTTGATCCAGAGAGCTTATAGCCAAGAGATGCTGGACATGGTTTGTACAATTTTGCAGCAGAACTTTAGGTACAAAAATGAAAGAGTTTGTGAAGTACTGTCTAAGATGGTGAAAAAAGGGTGCTGGAACAAGATAATGGAGCTTCTCATTTTAGTGAAAAAGGAGATAAAGTTTGATTTACCTTTGGTTAAGGCTGCACTTGCAGAAGATTTCGAAGACGTTAAATCTATAGTCAAGAAACTTGATGAACCTATCTTAGATGGTACTCGACTGGTTGTGGCAGCCTGTGGGACCAGCGATGAGGTAGCCTACCTCCTATACCGCTCTAACTACACCAGTGAAGAAGCAATATATAAACACTGCCTACTTATAGCCTCCATGAATGGCCACTTAGAAATATTGACACCACTGTTCGAAAGACATTTCAAATATTTCACTTACAGTCTTTTGAGCAGAGCTCGGCAACTAGCAATGGAGGCAAGAACTGAGGATACTGAAAATCTTCTACAACTTGCTTTATGTGAGAAAGCTAAAAATCTTTGCTCGTAACAACACATATTAGGTAGGAACATAAGTCAAATAGTATTCGTTATGAACAAAAATAAAGTGATAACTTACACTTCAAAATATTAAATCATAACACAGTATTTGAATATTATAACTCACTCCAAATGGAAATTACAAAGCTCACATGTATAAATATATTGCAGTTTCTCCTTTTATTATTAATTAACTGTAATGAAATTTTACAAGACCAGAATTTAATTCGTGAGTATATA